ACCAGGTCACCGTATAGCTCACTCTCTCCTCCTGGTCTTTACTCAACATCACTTTCTTAGGAAGCCCTTCCCTGCCCACTCTTTCTAAAACATAACTCCCTCACCTCCCCACATACACACTCCCTAGCTCCATTTCTGCCTTATTTTCCTCAGTACCATGTATCATCTTCCATCACACTTTATATTTTATTTACCATCTGTTTGACTAGAATGTCAACACCACAAGGGTGGGGATTTTTGTCTGTTTTGTTCACTGCTCTATCACTGAACCTACCACATATGCGTTGAATGAAGTTAAACACCTTCTTGGAATACAGCAATCTGACAGACAGACCAAATCTCTTTAAGCAAATTAACTCTACTGGGGCTCAGTTTTCTTAGGTCTAAAAGGGTGTTAAAGGACCTCACCATCAGCCCAGAATAGAACTTGCCACAGAACAGCTTTTCAGTTACTTGAGCAGCATCTCACCTTGCCTCATGTGCCTACACTATCCTCTAAGACCTCCTTAGCCCGTTTTCCTCCCCTGAACCTCTTGACACTGGAATATGAAGAGCCCAGGGCAGAGGCTCTGACCCTTGTGAACTGTCAAGACAAGGGAGGAATTAAAGGCACCAGATACTCAGGGCTCAGGGCTTCTCCCCAGGGAACTGGGCAGACCTCAGACTACCAGGCTTCCTGTGGTGGGGTGCTAACAGTGTGGGGAGAGTGAAGGGAGGAGAGGGTGTGACCAGGGGAGTGGTCATGCTGGAAAGGAAATGGCATGGGTGGAGGCCAGTGATGAGCAGGAGCTCACCTGCAGATCTCAATCAATCTTCAGCTCTGGAGGCTGGGACTCTCTCATTATCCTCATTTCACAGATGAGGAAATGACGGCTCAGGGAGGTCAAGGGTTTTGCCCCAGGTCTGACTCTAAAGTCCTGCTCTTGATCTCCAAGCTATATTGGCGCTGGCTCTTAATGCTGGCTGGGCATCAGAATACCTGGAGAGTTGATGAAACTAAAATACACCAGCCCCGCCCAGACTTACTGACTCAGAATTTCCCGGTGTGGGGTCCAGGTGTCTGTACTTTCCACAAGCTGATGCTTAGAAACCACCCCCCACCCCCCCCCACCCCCGATGGAGGTCATCTGAGCTGAGCTGTGGTGCGAACTAGTGACAGGCATGGTGCCCTATTTGGGCTTCCTCAGAGAGAACCTCATAATCTTCCCCATCCACCCACCCACCCAGATAGTCCTTGACCTCTGGATGGGCAGCTATCCATTTTTAAAAGTTTCATTTATTCACTCTTTATTCTGGAGACATGAGGGGAATGGTTTTCCTCGGGCTCAGAGTACCCTAAAAATTCAAGTCGAGGGATAGGGACAAGTATCAGGCCCTGATTGGCTACAGCTGGTAAGGACTGGAATTGTAGTTTCTAGCCTTCAGGATCCTGAACCCCTGACAGGCCACAGAGTACATGTATAGAGTTTGGGGATTCATAAAATGACCAATAATGATTGCAGAGAATATGAATAACCTCTCACTCCTAGATGGACTGCAATCTTTACATGTATCTAGGTGGTAAGGAGAGTCCTGGTGTGGTTTCGTAGGATAAGCACTCAACCTTAAGGTCGGTTTGAACCACAAGGTCGGGGTTCAAACTCACCAGCCGCTCCTCGGAATCCCTAATACAGGGTTGCTATGAGTTGGAACCTGCACTTTACAACAACAGGTGATAAGTGATCCTTTAAATAGACACAGATCCTTTTCAAAGAGTTACTGACTGTATGTTCTTAGCCAATAGCTACTAAAGCATAGCTCTTATCCTGAGGTTGGGAATCTCTGTGTATCTGCTGAAAACAAGAAGGGGCCAGAGATGTTGGGCATGGGCATCAAAGGAAAGACAGAGGCCTGGAAAAGTTGAAGGGAGGCTGCATTAAGGACCAGTTCAAATTATTTAAGGTATTTTTATTTCCTTAGTAGGCTGGCTGGCTAGTTTAATCCTCCTGCTTTGTAGGTGAGAAACCAACAGCTCGGAGATCCACATTGACTTGCCCAAGGTCACCCAGCTGGCTCTGAGTCCAGTGCTCTGTGCATCATTAAATCCTCCCCACCTCCAATTCTAGCCTGAGGAGATCAGCAGCATGTAGGAGTTAGGGCAAAACTGAGACCCCAACCAGTAGGTTCTTGGACTGGCATTGTTCTTAATTCCCTCCCACCAAGTGGAAAATTGTCTCCCTCCACAGAAAAAGCAGAACTTGAAGCTCAGACCATTAGTGGGGGAGTTCAGGAGCCTGGGAAACTTGACAGAGTCAAGCAGGGAAGACCCCTGCACAGCCTTCCTGCCTTCTCCCTGCTCCTGTTATCAAGTGTTGGGCCTGCTGTCTCCCAGGATCCTGTCAAGCTTGTGCCACACTTCCAAATCAGCTCTCAGTCTTTCAGGTGCCCCATCCATACCTTCGCCCTCACAGCCCCAGGCCTGGTAGTGGAGAAGGAAGAATTCAAATTCTTGGCAGATCCCCTACCAGGTCTGAAGTCAAAGCTGCTCAATTCTTTAGAGCAGGAGGTTCTGGGGACACTGTAAAAACTCACAGCTCTCAAATCCTGAGAAGATCTTTGTGCCCAATTTAAGTACATCCTGACCAGATGTGCCATTACTACTGTCCTATTTTCAATGTTCCTAACCCAAGTGAACAAATGCTGTTGCACTTTCTAAAATAATCCAAAGAGAGGAAAACCCTTCTGGTCTCTCTTCCAACTCTGGACTTTTCCAGGAAAACAATTTTGACCCCTTGGGCTTTTCTCTCAGATTTGCTCTTCTTCCTCCTCCCTCTGGCCTCCTCAGCAGCAGTCCCTTTAACAACTTGTCAGGAAAGAAAAGGTGACTGTCCAGACAGATACAGTTTATCCTGGGTGTATGCAGGTCTCCTGCCCCATCTCAACTGAGAACCCCAAGGCCAGGAGCAATTTTTTAAGAACAGGCTAACCCTAAGATCTTTACTCTTCTCTTCTTTTCTGGAGAGATGAGACCTGTTAATTCTCTCTCTTTCTTCTTCTTCCTCTGCCTTCTGACCACTTCTTTATTGCTCCTTTGACCTTTCTGACACCCCCACCCTAACACTATCACTACTTCCTCCCATTCCATTATCCACCACTATGGGTTTGGGGGAGAAGAGCCTCTCCATCCTTTCCTCCTATGATGGGAGCTTGTCACTTCTGTTGTACTCCTCACCTGGCCCCTGAGTCTTCCACTACTAGCTCAGATTCCTAGAGTGAACATTCTTGGTGAAGAAATCTACCGTTGGTCCTGTGCGACCAGACAGTGAGCTCAAAATTTGGAATGCAGTCCCAAAACAGCAGAAGTAAGTTCTCTATGGAATCTTTAGAAACAGGCAACTCCTTTTGCTGCTGTGGGAGTCAAGGGGCCACCAATTAAAGACCAAGACAGAGGCTCAAGTTAGGTCTCACTGGCTGATGACACCTGGGGAAGGGAAATCACTCCACATGTGAGGGGCACAGAAGGCCTGGAGACACCACGGGGGCCACAGGGAATGGAGAAGTGGGAAATGGTCCTTTGGAGGCAATAAGCCATAGGGAGGCATTGGGATTTTAAAGGATGGGAAGTGGGTGGGGGACCAGTTTCTGCAGTAATGAATTTTGAGTTATCTGTTTTACTTCCATCTATACTGAGGACCCAACTAGATGACATGATCTGTAATAAAAGGGACTTAAGAAGTCCTGGTGTGGCGCTGTGGGATAATGCACTGGACCTTAAGGTTGGCGGTTCAAACTCACCAGCCACTCATTGGAAACCCTATACAGGGTAGCTGTGAGTAAGAACTGACTCAAAGCCACTCAACAAGTAGGTTGTAAGGGAAAATCTGCCTGTTGAGAATTTCTCCCCAAGTTACTATTAGATGCTCACAAGTCCAGTAAAGGAATAAACACCTTATAGGATAGGACCAGTTTGGATACAAATTCAGCAGTCAGGGGAGGATGGGAGGGAAGTTTGTACAGGGGGCAGGGCACAATGACTCTTCTGTCCTGGTTCCCAAGTACTTCCTACTCTAGTAAACAGAATGGAAGTTTCCTAGAGACTGTACCTCTGCTTCAGGGAGGGCTCTGGGGAGACAGAGTGCTCAATAAATTTCATGCATTTGAGTGAATGAATGAATCCCACAGCGCTTCTTTCAGTATTTCCTGGTTCCAGTCTCCTAGGGCCCTGCTTCCTCCCCAGGAAGTCAGGTCTTTTGTGCCACTCACCAGGGTGGGAAAGGCAGCACTAACCCAGAACTGAAGGAGCGAAGAGGAAGAGAAACTCTTTTGGTTCTGAGGAATCGTCTAGGGACAGATGAACATTACGTCAACCACTGATGGAGCTTTCCCTGGGCTCAGGTCCTGCCGTTATTCCCAGAGGTCCCCAGCTCTAACGTCACCGTCACCTTCCCAATCTAGTGCGTGTGCTGAGTACCAGCATAATAAAGTTCTCAGTCCTGGCCCCCTTCCCAGCTGTCCCACCTACGGCGGTGCGACAGGATTGAGATGCTGTCTTCTTACCCATGGGTGGACCAACCTAGCTCGGGCCTGGGTCAGGCCCTTTCTGCCTCTCCTAGCTCCAGGAGGAAGTGACTGACAAGTGTTCGCTGTCTCTTCAGAGTCAGGAGAAAGCAGCAGGAAGGAGTAGGGTAACGTGCCCAAGCATGATTCTAGAAGTACATGTGTAGTCATCATTTAGAGCCTGGATTGTGGCCTGGCCCATGGCCCTCAGATCCCATAATCCCTTCCAGATGGTCCCAAGCTGGGCTCTGGGTACTGTCTACATGAACCACGTTGGTACCTCCTAATGAAGGGCAGCAGCTTCCGCCAGGCGACGCCGCCAGCTACCCGATACTGCCTCCTCTTGCGCCCAAGGCCTGGGTCCTAGGATGGCTGGGTGTCCCCGGAGACCACGCCTGGCTCCCGAGCTGCAGAGGCCAGTGAGGGGAGTCAGAGGCTTCCCCTGGGCCCCGGGTGCCCCTCACCTTGAGCTGAGACTTGGAGACTTTGCCGCTCTTCTCCACGTCCAGCGCAGTGAAAGCGTACCAGATGGACTTGAGCAGCTCCTTGCGCAGGGCCATGACTGAGGCGCCCGCCCGCCTAGTCTGGGGGCGGCTCTGACACCAAGATCCGGTTTCAGGAAATGCAAACGGCTGCAGACCGCAGAGGGGCTGTGGCGCAGAGCGAGAGCTCCGCCTGCCTGCTCACACAGGATCCCTGTGTTGACAGAACCAGTCTGTTGTCCTTGCCGCGGTCAAGTGGTCCCATGCCATGCTCAGGAACTGGGGATGGACCCCTGGAGAGCCAGAGCCCCCTATTCTATATCAATCTGGTTCCTGGGTCTGTGAAATTCTGTAAAAACTTCTAAGTCCTAGAGTTTGTCTTCCTGGGTTTTCTAAGGGATAAAGAATGCCTATTCTTACTTCAGACCCACATAGACTAGGGGGGTCAGTCCCATTTCCACACTTAACAGGTAGAGGTTCTTGGATAAATTACTTAATCTCCTTGAGCTGTTTCCCCACCGGCAAAGCAGGAAAACTTTCAACTTCCCAGAGTTTTAAGAATGTGCGAGGATACCAAGCACATACTAGGTGCTCAATAAAGCGTTTTTTTTTTTTTTTAATTATTATTATTTTTTAGTGCCACCTACTCTGGCCTTCTGGTGTGGCGCTGTGGGTTAATGCACCAGACTGCAAAGTCGTTTGAACTGCAAGGTCGGCGGTTCAAGCTCATCAGCTGCTCCTCAGAAACCATATACAGGGTCGCTATGGGTCGGAATTGACTCAACGGCACTTAACAACAACAACTCTGGTAGGAGTCCTGGTGTGGCTTTGTGGGTCAATGTGCTAGACTGCAACACCATTTGAATTGCAAGGTCAGCAGTTCAAGCTCACCAGCTGCTCCTTGGAAACCCTATACAGGGTCACTATGGGTCGGAAGGCACTTGAAGGCACTTAACACTCCCTGCCAGCTAAGACTCCTGTTGTGGCTCTGTAGGATCAGCACTGTACTGCGAACTACAAAGCCAGCAGTTGAAATCCACCAGCTGTTCCTTGGAAACCCTATATAGGATTGCTGAGTCGGCATCGACTCAATGGCACATAGCAACCCACCAGCCACTCCTCAGAAACCCTATACAGCAGAGATGGGGAACCTCTGGTCCGGGCTGTATAAAGCTTGTGAAATAATTTGGCCTGGTCCAGCCAAGGCAACTGAAGTTTCAGCCATCACATTAGTGGTGAATTAATTGTTTGACCAAATGTAGCAGGCTAATTTTCAAGTTGATAATTTTGTATGGCACATGAATGACATTATAAATCTTGGCAGAAAAAAGGTTCCCCACCTCTCTTATACAGGGTCATTATGAGTTAAACCAACTTGATGTCATTAGACATTATAACATGTGCAATGGTTATAGTAACATTATCACCAATGTTATAACATTATAACATTGTTGGTGCAATGGTCCAAGTGCTTGGCAGTTAACTTAAAGGTCAGTAGTTTGAACTTAGCAGCAGCTCTGAGGGAGAAAGATATGGCATTCTACTTCAGTAAAAGATTGTTGTTGTTACGTACCATCGAGTTGATACTGACTTATAGTGATCCTATGCACAACAGAATGAAACAGTGCCCGGTCCTGGGCCAACCTCACAATCATTGCTATGCTTGAGCCCATTTATGCTGCCACTTTGCCAATCCATCTTGCTGGGGGTCTTACTCTTTTTTCTTACCCTCCACTTTATCAAACATGGTATCCTTCTTCAGTGACTTGTCCCTCCTGATATGTTAGAAGTATGAGATGAAGTCTGGTCCTCTGGCTTCACGGGAGCATTCAGGCTGTACTTCCAACACAGATCTATTTGTTCTTTTGGCAGCTCATGGTACTTTCAATATTCTCCTCCAACACCATAACTCAAATGCATCAATTCTTCTACAGTCTTCTTTATTCACTATTCAACTTTCCCATGCATATGAGATTATTGAAAATACCAGGGTTTGGGTTAGGCACACCTTAGTCCTCAAACTGACATCTTTGCTCTTCAACACTTTAAACTGGTCTTGTACAGATTTGCCCAATGCAATATGTTGTTTGATTTCTTGACTGATGCTTCCATGAGTGTTGATGGTTGATCTGAGGAAAATAAAGTCTTTGACAATTTCAATCTTTTCTCCATTTATATGGATGTTGCTTATTGGTCCAGTGGTGAGGATTTTGTTTTCTTTACATTGAGATGCAACCCATACCAAAGACTGTGGTCTTTAAGACTTTCATCAATATTTTAAGTCCTCTTCACTTTCAGTAAGCAAGGCTGTATCACCTGCATATTACAGGTTGTTAATGAGTTTTCCTCCAATCCTGATACGTTTTTCTTCATAGATTATTTGTCCAGAATACAGACTAAGTAAGGTGGAAGAATACAACCCTGGTGTACACCTTCTCTAATTTTATACCATTTGGTGTTTCCTTGTTTGAACTACTGTTTCTTGGTCTATGTACAGGTTCCTCATGAGAACAATGAAGTGTTCCAGAATACTCAATTTCACAATGTTGTCCATAGCTTGTCATGATCCACACTCAAAAAGCCTTTGCGTAGTCAATAAAGCACAGATAGACATCTTTCTGGTATTCTTTGCTTTCAGCCAAGATCCATGTGATGTCAGCAATGGTATCTCTGGTTCCACATCCCCTTCTGAAACTGGCTTGAACCTCTGGAAGTTCTCTGTCAATGTATGGTTGCAGCTGTTTTTGTTGTTACCTTTAGTAAAATTTTACTTGCATGGGGTATCAATGATTTTGTCCAATGATTTCTGCATTCTATTGGGTCATCTCACTTTGGAATGAGCACAAATACAGATTTCTTCCAGTCAGTAGTCCAGGTAGTTATCTTCCAAATTTCTTGGCATAGATGATTGAGTGCCTCCAGTACCATATCTGGCACTAACTGAAGAGTGGTAGTATAAAAGATTGTTGTTGTTAAGTACCGTGAAGTCAGTTCCGACTCATAGTGACCCTGCACAGCGTTTGTTTCCAATGCTGTAAATCTTTACGGGAGCAGAACACCTCATCTTTCTCCTGCGGAAAAGCTTACAGCCTTGGAAATCCTATGGGGCAGTTCTACTCTGTCGTACAGGATAGCTATGAGTCAGAATCCCCTTGACAGCAGTGGGTATAAAATTATCAGTGGTGGGACTCCACCCAAGAGGAAGAAAATAAAGACAACAACATACAGTTGGAGGAGGAACTTGCCCAAGGCACCTTTCCAGGTCAGCTGGACTTGGCAAGTCATTTGTTGGCTTCCAGTTGTCTGGGCACAGGATCTAAAATGACACTCAAAAAAAGCACTGCCCAGTCCGAGCCTTAGTGGCCCTGAAGATAGTTTCTGAGGCACAAAGGAGTGAGTTTTGTGGTGGGCTCAACCTCAAGGTCATAGCAGTGTGACTCCAGATCGTGGCTTCCATTTCTTTAGATCCAAGGCCCACATGGGATGGCACAATCCCCCGCCCCTTGCCAGGACAGTAAGGGGTGGAGTCCCAAGCGAAGGTCATGGGAGACTGAAGAAACTTGCTCAGACAAATTTGAGATTCCTTCTCCAGGGCATGCCGCAGACTCTTCTGCTTTTAATAAACTAGTGGCAAGACTAAGAGAGAAATTTCTAGGCATTCCAGAAGCCAGCGCTTGGATTGAGGTCAAGGGTTCCATTCCTGGGTGGTAGCATGGGGCTTTAAGCACACCTAGTGTCACTGGACTGCAAGGTTGGTTCAAACTTCAGCTGTTCCTCAGAAACCCTATACAGAGTCAGAATTGACTTGATAGCGCTTAACAACAACAATCATAGTGGACAGAAAAAAACCCAGCTCTAGTTCTCGTCTTCTCCAGGTGGGGTCAAACACAAAGGGCTCTTTTCCATCAACTCCCCTTCCCCTATATCGTTTCTTGCTTGTGCGGTTCTGGTCTTACCACTCAACTTTGCAGTAGGCTTTGTGGTTCTGGAATCCATATGGCCCTAGACACTAGATGGGCACCCCAAGAGCTGGGCAAAAGAGCCAGGGCTGCCAGCACCAGAACAGACTCTTGGCACTGGACCTAGAGGACCTTGGCAAAGATGTTCCCACCCCACTTTAAGCTGGGGTTTTGTCAACTCAGAGCAGCTGACTGTGTGCAGAGGTGGGTTTGGAGGGGTTCTGACTGTATTTCACAAGGCAGGGAAAAAACAGAGGTCTTTCAGTGTGACCATCCTGAGCCTAAGATTTAACCAGTCTCATAGAAGGGGTCACTCTGATCCTGTTGGGTCCCCACACTGCCATCTTGGAGTCTTCCCACTCTGCTATGGAGGGGAAGCTACTGATAGTCTTAGGGCTTCTCTTGCTCAGTCAGTCCATAAGTCTAGTACGGGGGGCCTGTGTCAGGAATACTTGATGAACCCTATCATCAGAGCCCAGAACTGAAAGGAGGGAGGGAAAACCCCCAGTAGAAACTTGGAACTTTTATTAAATACTCATTCACCCATTTGCCACCACCATCCAGAGCAGGAAAAAAGTTTATCAAAATGGAATCTTTTTTTAAAAACAACAACAACAACAACAAAATAAACCCAATCCCCAGCAGTCTATGTACAATGCCACTCCCTGCCTCTGCCACAGTAAGACTGGGGGCAACTGAGTAATGGTGGGGGCTGGGCACTTTTCTCCAGCCACAGGCCCCTGAGGAATTCTGAGGAAGTCCCTTATTGCTAGAAGGGAGAGGGTTGGGAAACCCCTATGTGGCAGGCCCCAGTCTGCTCAGCCCCAGAAAGCTGTGTGCCCTCTCCCAGTTCTCACAGCAGCCCTGGTGTGTCCACCTGAGGAAGCTGAGAGGACTAAGGGCAGAGAGGATGTTCTCTAGGGGGAGGAGAGGAGACACGCAGCTGACTTTGAGGGAAGGGTGCCCTGCTGCAGCCTGCTGATCAGGCTTGTCTTCCTCAGCTCCTGACAATGGCACACTCCCTTGATTCTGACTCCCAAGTTCCCCGTCCCGTCAGTCAGGCCATTTTCCTGCTGTCTTCTGGCCTCAGAGACCTTTGTGGCCAGCCACCTTCCACGTGTCAGCCACAACCTTGGCCCTTGGAGGCAAGGAGGCCTGTGCAGCATGGCACCTCCTCCAGCATGGTGTGGGAACCAGCCCCTCAGGCTCAGCGGCCGCTCTCCGATGCCACTGTCTCCAGGCTCACAGCCCCTTGCTGCATGGCCGCAGCGGCCACACTGAGAGCCTCCTCTAAAGTCTGTGGCTCCTCCAGCTGTGGAGAAAAGGGGAAATGGTGAGACCCTTCCTTCTAGATTTTCCTGTTTGGGATAAACTGTGTGGTCTACTGTTATGAGTCTCCTTCATCCACCCGATGCCACACATCGAACTCTCTATAGAGCCCCAATAAATAGGATATTCATTAATAGAGTCTACTAGTCTAGGCGTGCCCAGGGAGCCATGGAGAGGCCCCGGTCAGAGAGAACTTAGGCACCGGCTGGCTGAAGAGGAGAACAAACATCTACTTTGTTGTTGTTGTTAAGTTCCATGGAGTCAGTTCCGACTCATAGCGACCCTGTACAGGTTTTCTAAGGCTGCGAATCTTTACAGGAGCAGAAAGCCTCATCTTTCTCCCTTGGAACGTCTGGTAGTTTTGAACTGCCAACACTGAGGTTAGCAGCCTGATTCGTAACCACTACGGTACCAGAGCTCCTTCTTTTCCACATGAAATGAAGATATGAAGAAACGAAAAGTTCTGGACCACCAGATGATCATCAAAGCTATCCTGAAGTCTAGAAGGGGCTTCACTACAGTGCCTCAACCAAGAAACAGCCTGAACCAGGAGTGTGGATATGGGCAGAAAGGGATTTGTCTCCTGAAATGGGCTCTTTTTAAGCCTAGTAGGTTCCCAACTACTTTCCCCACTTTGTCCCTGGGCAGCGGATCCCTATTTCTCTGGGACCTTTACCCACCTGCACTGCAATGTGTGTTCCATTGGCTGTAGCCAACAGTGCCACCTGTTGATGATGAAGGGATGCTACGCTTGAGTCCTCAGCCATCACCGCTCCAGAGGTAATGATTGTGACCTGAAATACAGAATGAGGTTTTCCAATCCGCTTGCATGATTCTTCCTCTCCCAACTCCAAATAAACACACCTTTGAGCAAGGCAGCCGGGAACAGCTCAGAAGGGAATAGAGAAAACCATTATGGGTCAGATAAATTAGCTTGGGGCTCAGAGCTAAGTGAAGTTTTCTCTCCAACTTAAACCCCAACTTAATTTAGAGATTTAAAATCATATAAGGACAGAGCTGTAAAAGACTTCAGGAATAATTTAATTCCATAATTTGAAAATGGACTTGTCTATGGCTACAAAAGGAGCTCTGGTAGGGTAGTGGTTACGAGTCGGGCTGCCAACCTCAAGGTCAGCAGTTCGAAACTACCAGTGGTTCTGTGGGAGAAAGATGAGGCTTTCTGCCCCCGTAAAGATTTGCAGCCTCGGAAACCCTGTGCAGGGTCTCTATGAGTCGGAACCGAGTCCACAGTACTTAACAACAACAATGGCTACAAAGCAAGTTATGGATAAATAACAGATTCAGAAATTGTTTCTTGGTCATAAGGATGAGAGTTTCTGATGGTCCAAGGGAGTTGTGAAGAAGACTCCTTTTTGTTGGGGAATCATCACTGTTCTTGTAAGAAGGCCTGACTGGCTTAGCCTGCACTTCAGTGTCCTCCCCCTCCCACAACAAGGAATGACAAGAGAACAAGAAACCCCAAGCAAACCGCCTGGTCATACGGGCTGCGTCTGGGTGCCATCGGCGCTGACCATGGTGACCGTATGTGTGCCAGATGTGACAAGCTCATTGTCATGACTGGGGATGGCGAGAGTGGTACCACCATGCTGGGTCACCATACTGATGGCACTCCCTAGGGCCTGCAGGTCTTCAGGGGACAGGCTGACCTGCCGATAGGAGGGGAGAAGATAAGCTTGAAGTCCCTAATGAGGATGGATAGATCTGCTCTCATATACAAGGTTAGTCTGTTGGTGAGATAAAAGGTTAGCTTCATGTCACAGGGGTGGAGAGCAGGTCCTAGGCTGCAAAGAAAGGTCCACCAGAACACTGCTGACTACTTCTATTTACCACCTCTCATGAGGCAGAGGAGGAAAGGGCTGAGTTTTAAGATTTGGTCCTTCATTCTCAGAACTCAGCTCTCTGAGGTCCACAAGGCTAGAAAGTGGTAGAACTTCAGGGGTCCCCAGAGGTCCCAGAGACAGTGAGAAAGGGATCAACCAGAGTAGCCTACCCTGTCCTTGCCCTCCCTAGCCTGTACCTGCTGGGCACCATCCTGGGTGATGAGGGCCACCTGTGGGGCCCCATCTTCCTGTGTCACCATGGTCACCTGGGCTGGGACATCATCACCCTCTTCTTTCATCTCCGAAAGGTAAGCAACGCAGGGTTGTTTGGGTGGCGGGCTCTCCTCAGCTGCAGAGGCGGCTGGAAAAGGAGAGCCCAAGTTGATGCTTGCCACCATAGGCCACAGGGAAGCCTGGCTCGGATCCCCTCTCACCCCTGCCTGCTCCTTTAGCCTTGATCCTCACCCTCCAGCTGCTGTTGCTCATAAAGTGCCTGCTCGCTTTCCTCTGTGGCCTCCAACTCGCCGTGGGCGCTCCTCTTGTGCATGGCCAGGGTGGAGGTTTGCCGGTAAGTCTTGCCGCAGGTGCTGCAGGTGTAGGGCTTGCAGTGCGTGTGCACCACATGGTGCTTGTACAGGCTTGAGTACTCGGTGAAGCGCTTCCCACAGCCTGGCACCGTGCAAACGTATGGCTTCTCCCCTGGGGACACTGGGCTGTGAGGGGGGTGGGAACTGGGGCTGGCAAGGGGGGAACTAAAGGGACAGCGGTGGGGGACAGGGTTGGTGAAGGAAGAGCCACAGAGGGAGGGAGAGGGACTGAGACCTAGGATATGGGTATAGGACCTTTGAGCCCAGAGACAAGGTGAAGATGAGGTAAAGGGCAAGAATGGGGCTAGTGAAGCAGCTGGTGGGGGTCAGGAAGACAGGACTGGTGAGGGGTAAGTTCAGTGTCAGGTGATAGGAGTGAGGGGAACACTGATGGAGGGCTGGGCGAGGGACATGACACCAAGGAGGGGGAGGGTACACAGGAAGCACATGGGCAGGGGATGAGGTGAGGAGATGAAGGTGACATTTCACTCCGCTTTTCCCCACTGGCTCTGGCCTCTTTCCGGGAGCTCAGCTGAAGGACGGTTTAGCATGAGTGGGGTGGCAGCTGAGGCTCTCGAGAGGGCTGGCAGTACTGATCAGACTGGACCTAACTGACTCACTACAAATCAGACATTGGCTCTGGGGATACTGCAAGAACCATAAAACCTCTCACGCTCAGACCAGTCTAGGATGGCCAACAGAGAGTTGAGAATTTAATTTAGATCAAAAGCTGGTAGAGGGACTTGGGCCTCAGAGGGGGTGGTTCTTGTATGCCAGCTGGCTCACCTGTGTGGATGCGCACGTGATTCTTGTAGTTGGTGGCACTGGTGAAGCCGCGGCCACAGTGGGGCTCAGGGCAGGTGTAGGGGCGTTCGCCTGTGTGGGTGCGCACATGCACCTTTCGGATATTAGAGGTGGTGAAGGAGCGGCCACAGCCCTCAAAGGGGCACCGGAATGGGCGTTCCCCTGTGGAGACGAGGGGGTGTAAAGGGTGGCTCAAGAGGGAGGCCATGCAGGAACAAGGAGTGGGGATAGCACTGGCTGAACTCTGAAAGGCAGCTGAACCCCCCTCCCAGGGAACAGGGCCCAGCCCACCGGTGTGGGTGCGGACATGCTTCTGCAGGTCTCCTGAGGTCTTGAAGGCCTTGCTGCACAACTCCTCTGGGCACTTGTATGGCTTCTCACCAGTGTGGGTGCGCACATGGCTCTTCAGTCCATACCCTGTCCATGTGGGGGGAGGAAGGTAAGCAGTGGGCCTCGTGCCCCACCTTATTAATTCAGGGGTACATCATTAAAGATGTGTTCTGTGAGACACCAGAGCTCCTTTGGCTCAAGAGACCCGAGTCCTGGTGTGGTGCTATGGATTAATGTGCTGAAATGCTAAGTCGTTTGAACTACAAGGTTGGTGGTTCAAGCTCACCAGCTGTTCCTTGAAAACCCTATACAGGGTTGCAATGGGTCAGAAGCAACTCAAAGGCACTTAACAACAACAACAATCCTACTTTAGCCTGGGAGTTGGGAAGAGGTGCAAAAACCCACTCTGCCCTCCTTCCCTCTCGAGGGATGGTTGGAGTCACTGCAGAACAGATACCTGAGAGGGAACCTAGGGATGAAAGCCCCTGTTTCATGCAGGAGAAAAAGCCCACAGACATACCTGGGCCAACCCCCACTGCCCCAAGTTGGTCAGAGTTGACATGAATGGTAGGGTCTCTGCCAAGCCCCCAGGCTCCTCAGCTGCTAGCCTGGAACATGCTGCTTTTTGCTATCTGTAACAGGGTTTTCCTTCATAGAGGGAACCAGAGCATTCTCGACAACCGTTTGTCTGGGAAGACAGGCTGGTGCCGAGCTTCCTTTAGGGAGATCCCAAAGCTGTGCTAAAGCCCCTTGCTATTACCAGAAGCAGTCTCCCTTCTGCCTCCATCCAGGTAGGTTACCTGTAGCGAAGGCCTTCCCACAGCTGGGGAAATCACACCTGTATGGACGGTCACCTGTATGAGCTCGTTCGTGCACCTGTGAGGACAAGCAAGCACATGATTGAGAGGGACAAGTATATGGCCTGGGCGCGTTGCTTCTCTTTAGGGCCCAGGCTGCTGGCATCCAGATACTGGCCACCTCCTCTACTTGCTTCTTCAGGGAGAGCCCACCTCCTCCAGAGAGCCCTCCAGGTTTCCCTTTCCTTCTTTCATGCTTTCTTTGGTTCATAGCTTTTTGTGCTGACATTTCTGTACACTCATATCTTCCCTCCAGTAGGCAATGAGCAGCTTTAAGGCAGAGACCAGTTCCAGTTAAAACTTGGTGGGGAAGATGGCAGAGCTAAAAGGTGAGCACTGGCAACCTTACCTTTAAATGATGAGCTGTGGTGTAGAGACGTCCACAGCCCTTGTAGCCACAGCGGAATGCTCTGTCCCCAACCTGCTGCCCTTTGCCATTCTGGGGAGCCTGGCTGTCATGCAGAACCTGAGGAAAATATCTTAGGGTCTGATATGTATTTACTCGATGACGGAAGGGGGAGGGTGGGACTCTGGGCCCAGCTGGCAGTTTGAGACCCAATAAACAGGGTTCCATAAGCCTGCTGGGGACCTCTGGGGACAAAGAGCAACCTGGGATGACCCATCTGGACAGGGAATAGACATTGGGACATCCCGCAGATAGACGACTGACCTGAACAGCCACCCTGACCATCCTGATGGATAGAAGGAGAATTAAGTGTCATTGGGGCGGTGATGCTACCAAGGAAAGGGCAGCTCCTCGCCAGCCAGGTAGGCGAGAGGGTCACACTTGAGCTAGGTGTAGTGCCAGTATCCACTGCCTGACCATACACATTTAGGGGGCTGTGATTCTGAATGCCTCCATCATCATTAAAGAGCAAAGATGTCACTTTGAGAACTACAGTGCGCCTGATTCAAGCTATGGTACTTTCACCTGTTTCCTATGCATGTGAAAGCTGGACAACGAATAAGAAGACTGGAAAAGAACTGATGCATTACAATTACAGTGTGAATATTGAATATACCATGGGCTGCCAGAGAACAACAAATCTGTCTTGGAAGAAGCACAACCAGAATGTTCCTTCGAAAGTAAAGATGGTAAGACTTCGTCTCCTGTGCTTTATACACGTTGCCAGCAGGGACCAGTCCCTGGAGAAGGACACGCTTGATAAAGTAGAGCGTCATGATAAAGAGGATGACACGCAAAGAGAGAGGCTGGCACAGTGACTGCAACAATGGTTCAGACATTAAAAACTGTGAGGATGTGCAGGACTGGGCAGTGTTTTGTTCTATTGTGTACATGGTCGCTATGAGTCAGAACTGACTCAGCAACACCGAACAACAACATCATCTTTGCACAGGAGGGGCTCCCTCTCTCCCATCAGAAACATGTGTTCAAAAGGGGCACTAACAAGGGAGTTTGCTGTGTGGATATGCTCAGCTAGAATCAGTTGGTAGCTATAACCAACAAACTGCAGAAACAGGATGTCCCAGGGCAGGGAGCGGTAGGGCCCCACCATTACACACAGCATCCAGTTAACAATTCCTTCCCTTTCATTTCCTTTTCTGGGGACAGTACTATTGTTAAGTGCTGTCGAGTTGTTTCTGACTCATTGCAACCCTGTACAGAGAATGCCAGAGCCACCCACTTCACACCTGCCTCCGGCCTCCTTACTCCTCTTCTTTTCTGGGCAAGGTTCTGGTGGGCCCTTCTCTTAAGTCTTTGTTTCTGGGATGGTGCTGGACCACATTTTGGCTTTTCTAGAAGCTCCTGAAGCAGAACATGGTAAGCCAAATTCACAGTTTGGTTATTCTAATCAGGATCCAGGTCATGGGGTCAACTGGCTGACAACACTTCCTGCACACTTAAAGCAGCTGGTGGGGGAAAAGGGGAAAGGGTCACAGGTGGCCCGACATCCCCATGTCTCACTAGCTCCTGGGGTAATTGGGAGAATAAAGGAACATTAAGGCTGGAAGTGACCTCTGAGGTCATCTGGTCTAATTTCATTGAATTAGAGGCACAAGCTGAGGCTGGGATTGGGAGTGACTCCCACAAGGTCAGACCAGATAGGACAGAGCCAGCACAGACCCCAAGGCTCATGATTTAAAGCCCAATTCCCTTTCTATCAGCAGCAAGTCTCAAAATACACCCCTGGGGGGACAGACAGTGAGCACAGCCCAATGAGCCTGCTGTAAAGTTTTGTGTTTCACTTTGAAAAGACAAGTCGATCTCCTCTTCTCCTCAATGACTGTACAAAACAGGTGCTCTCCAGAGATGGGACGGAGGAAGCCCCTCAGCTTGGAGAGCTCATGGTTCTCTGTACCCATTTCCCTTACCAGCAGGACAATGGCTCTGGCAAAGAGTTTGAACCACCTGACGTTTTGAGAATTGGGAGCCTTCACCGTCAAGCTACTGTGCTGGCTTCGTATTCCAAGAATCCCAGCTGCTCTGTTGCATCTGCCCTCAACATCGTTACTGAGGCTATTTCCTCATATGACTAAATGAGCCACAGAGAAGAAATAAATACAAGAACAGCTGACCTTAGTGGACTGGAAAACTAATAAGAAGTCACTGGCATGGGCTGTTCCAGACAACACAGGGGATTATTACGACAGCCGATGTGAAGCTGGGCCTCAATTCCCACCATCCAGATGTCAATGCTTCTTACAGCTACCACCCCTCTGCAGGGACAGCATCAACAAGGGTGACTGCAAACAGCTGTTAGCAGCCCCAGCCAGGCTGTGACGCACACGCTGAACATGATGTGTGAGGGATGAGATGGGAGAGCTGGGCCAGCAGAGCAAAGAGAGGAGGCATGCAGCCACTGGAGATGGGCATCATCAGCCTGTGTGCTCACCTTACTGGCATACTGCTCCAGGGCCACCACTGTGTCTGCACTGAAGCCCTCGTCATCTTCTGTAGTCAGCTCCTCCAGGCCCACCTCTGCTTGCACGGCCAGGATGGCGCCATCCGACACAGCCACAGGGTGGTGAATGTAGGCAGTGGAGCCATCTTCCAGCTGGACAGCTTCCAGGGCACTGGGGTCATAACCCTCTGCAGGGAATCCCCAGTCAGTCCAGGTGCCACAAGAGGGTAAGAGTCCCCACTGGGACCCAGTTGTATGGTAACCAGAAACACCTATACCCTGGAAGGTTTTCAGCACCGAGTTCCTCCTGCAAAGACTGTTCCTACTGGCCCTTTCCTTGGTGACTAACTCTTGCTGGTCCCCCTTCTGAGGCAGCCTCTCCTCAGGAGGAGGTCTCCTACAAGCACTGACTTTGAACTCACATTCTCCTTGAGGACCTGACAAACAGACATAGTCATTTTGGCCTGGACGACCACAAGAGCTTCCTGACCCCTCTAGCATCCTCCAGACTACGTGACATCCAAGTGTCTGCCTAAGCAGATCCAGCTGTTGCCCACTGGGCTCTCAAGATAAAAACCCAATTCTTCAACCTGACACCGAAGCCTCCAAGTGCTCTGACCCCTGGCTCTGTCTCCAGCTTCCTCTTACTCATTCTGCCCTCACTCCCAGTTCTCTAGCTCATAGGGAACTATGGACATGACATTCTTTCTTCCTTCCACCTCCAAGCTTCACGCACTGCTCCTCCTGTCTGGAACACTGTACCCTGCTGCCGGCCCTCTTTCCTTAGCGAACTCCCCTTCTTTCTTCAGCTCTCAGTTCATCCAACACAGGCTCACAGAAGCCTCTCTGAGTTTGATGCCACTTCATCAGTGTTTCTTTATTTCACTTCTGTTTCCCCCACTAGACTCTAGGACAGCAGGGACTGTGTCTGACAGCATTTTCTCTTGCGTCCTCCACACCTAGTGCAGTGTCTGGGATAAAATAGCTGCTCAAGAAATGACTTGTAGAAGGAATCAACCTTTATTCTTCGGTACCTTATAAGCTTCACTCTTACATAACAGTAACTTTTTACTCCTGGTCTTGGACCCTCAAGGCTGAGCCTTCTGGTGACAGAAACAAGGGCTCATGTGGTATGTACCAGGGAAGGCAGGAGAGGCTATGAATCCAGTTGAGTCTGATGCACCTTAGGGACCTCAGCTCTTGTCCTCGAGTCCTCACCCCATGAGTGTGAAACTCCATCCCCCAACCTCTACCAGTTATGCTTCCTTTCTTCCCTTAAGTGCTAGGGGCTGTGACCCCACCTTTAGGAGTGCGGTGTATGTAGGCCATGCTGCCATCTTCCAGCTGCACGGGCTGTCCATCTTCAAAGGAGAGAGATTCTGGAATGAAAGCAGTGCTTCTTTCTCTGGAGCTCAGGCCATGAAGGGACCCCTCAGTGGAGGCTGCCTGGCCTCTCTCCAGCAGGTTGCATGTATGTGGGGTGCCCTCACCTTTCTGTACCGTCACTTGATGAATGTATGCAGTGGTTCCGTCCTCGAGTTGGATCACTTGTCCTTCAAGTAGTTTCTCTCCTGTGGGGGTGGAAATGGAGAAAAACAGACCAGGCCCAGAAGAGAGCTTGCAACACCTGCTTCTTTTCACCAGCAGAGGCCTACTGACTCTGCGTCTAAGCACAGGTCAAGGCACATTCTTGGAGTCACTGTGCTTCCTGCCTCCCTGGACCTGGGTCTTGGAGGGTCTGAAGGTTAAGCCCTAGACGCCCAACAGTCTCCTCTCCTGTCACTCACAAGACAAAGCAACTAAATGGGGACTTCTGACCTAATGAGAAACTGCTAAGAGAACAAAGGATGCCCTTTGTTATGAATTATGTCCCCCCAAAATATGTGGTATAAATCCTAACCTCTCTGCCTGTGGTTATAACTGAATTTGGCAAAGGATTGTCTTTGCAATGTTAATGAGAACAGAGATACAAAAGAGATTAAACAAGTAAGTAACCAGAGATAAGAAGAGAGATGTCAAGCCACAGGAAGACTGCCCAGGAGCAAAAGCTCTTAAGAGACAAGAACCTTCCTCAAGAGCTGACAGAGAGAAAGCTTTCCCCTAAAGCCAGCACCTGAATTTACACTTTCAGCCTCCAAAACTGTGATAAAATAAATTTTTGCTAGTAAAAGCTACTCATTTATGGTATGTCTGATACAGCAATATTTGATAACCAAGACACCCTAAATAAATCCTGGAAAGGTCCTTGTTGTTGTTAAGTGCCGTCGAGTCGGTTTCGACCCATAGCGACCCTGTACAGGGTTTCCGAGGGTGTAAATCTTTACGGGAGTAGAAAGCCTGATCTTTCTCCCACGGAGCAGCTGGTAGTTTCGAACCGCTGAAATTCAGATATGGTTCATACTAATTAAATAAAAATTGAATTTTTTTGTTATGCTGTAATATTTTCAATATACCTGGGGACACAAAAAGTAGATTTCCTTATTTCCCCAGATGAAAACAGGCCAAGACCCAGTCCCTCCAATAAGACAGTACAGCACAACAGTTAAAAATAATAATGGGTTCTAGAACTGGGCCAGAACTCCTAGGCTTGAATTCTAGCTCTGCCTCTTAGGAGCTGCGTCTGTTTTTGGACAGCATATTTAACCTTTCTTCTTAAACTAGGGATTAAAAGTCTTCTTCACAGAGTTGCTTTGAGGGTTAAATGAAACAACAAATAAAAAATACTTGGAAAAGTGCCAAGTATGTGATCAGACCTCAAAAAACCTTAGCTCTTATTAGAAACATGCCAACCTTGCCCTTTAGAAGACACAGACAGTAGAACAATACGGAGCTACATGAGTGTGAGGAGTATGTGGCCATCTAGGTCATGATCCACTGCCACTGTTGGTAATGCGTCCTTCACTGAGCTCTGATGTCTTCATGTCCATTTCCTACCAAGATTGACTCACCTAAGGAAATAGCACAAGCAATATAAAAATTAACAAGATTCTAGATTTCCTAAGATATTATCTTTCTTTTATCTCAGATCCTTACTGGAAAGCACTTCTAAGAACAAAATGCTCTAAGGAAAGCATTAAACAGGTTCATCCCTATGTCCAAGGAGTCTTGAGAGGAGAGAGGGGAGGAGAGAGGCACAGAGGAAGAGAAGATGTGAGAAAGGGAAGGCGAGAAGGAGGGAGGAAAGGCAGGCAGGAACCTCAATGAAAGTGGTTTGTCCCCTTTTAAAGTCAGGTTTAGAAATTTGAGCTCTTAAGATGTGGGAAAAGGACCAGGCAGCTACTTTCAGCCCAGCTCTCTGCTGCTTCCCTATCAGGAGAATCTCTATAGCCTTGTTCCCAAAGCGAGTCTTCTCGGAGTCAGTAACAGTCCTATGGGCTGGCTCAAGTTAGGTGGGACGGAGACAGGAAAGTAGTAGGAGAGAAAAGAGGGCGACACGAGGAGTGGGACTCACTCTCTTCCCTTCCATCTGTGAACAGAGGCAACCCCTGCATCTGAATACTCTACCTGTCCTGGAGAGGCACCAAGCTATTTGGGATTTGAAGCATCAGCAAAGCTTTTACTAGCAGAGTAGGTATTGCTTCAAGGCAGAAAACAAAATGTTGAAGAGAGTTAATCTATACTTTTCTCTAACAGCCACAGGCTTCAATGGGGAGAAGTGGGTGGGGAGAAGTACTGAACAAAGTGGCCCTCACGTCCCAATACACGGTAGTTGGTTATACATCCCCACTTAACACAAGAGTTCCAGTGCAGCTATTAACAATGTAATCTTCTACTCTCAAGTGTCAAGGTTTGAACAGTACATTTTATGTTCACCCTAATTATAGAGAAAGGAACGCTGGTAGCATAGTGCGTTACGAGTTGAGCTGTGGTCAGCAGTTTGAGCCCACCAGTCACTCCATGGGAGAAAGATGAGGCTCCTGTAAAGATTTATAGCCTCAGAAATCCTACAGAGGATCCATGTGAGTCAGAACCGACTCCATGGCACAGAACTACCACCATCATGATATAGAGGAATCCTGGTGTGGTGGTGTACGGTAAACACTAGACTGCTGACCCCAGCATCTGTACTACGGCACAAGTCAATAAACCCTACTGTTAACTATCACCTTTGTTTGTGAGTTACTGGGGTCAGGAGAAAGTGGTTGATTTGTGAGGTAGCACTATATGCCAAGCACATCTTGGTGTGGCGCTGTAAGATAAGCACTGGACAACAAGGTTGGTGGTTCAGACCCATTAGCCACTCCTTGGAAAACTTATACAGGGTCATTATTAGTCACAACCAACTCTATGGTGCTTAACAACAATAACAATTACAGTGAAGTCTCATAAAATTTTAGGATATGCTGAGTAAGCTGGGCTCCAACAGAGTTTGATAGAGACAATAGTGCCTGAGTCAAGAGCTCCTGGGGACTCACCAGTGTTTCCGAGGAAAAGTTGATGGGTTTGAACCAGGGACTGTGTGGTTAGCACTTAACAACAACAGCAACTCCACACTTCCTAAGTTTTTCCAGTCATGGTGCTGAGACTGAAGCAGAAGGGCAAGACCTGTGGTGGTAAGTCTGTAAGAGTATTCCAAAGCCTCAAAAAGTTAAAACATGGGACTATCATATTACCCAACAATCCTGATCCTAGATATATAAACAACAGCAGTGAAAACAGAAATCTGTACACCAGTGTTCATTAGTGACAACAACCAACAGGTGAAAATGTTTAAGTGTCCATAGACAGATGAATGGACACATAAAATGTGGTATGTACATACAACAGATAGTACTCAGCCATAAAGAGATTGGAAGTTTGTTGCAGACTGTGTGTAGACTATACAGGCCTCAGGCTCTCAGGAACAAATGAGGCCACTGGCAGTCAATAGCAAATTGTTTTTCATCTTAGTGTTCAGTTATATTTATTAATTTAATACATGGGGCCCTTGATAATCCACAGATGAATGTGATATTTTCTTAAAGCCGAAGACTGTAAAGGTTTCAAAGGTCAAGCCTTTCTCCAAAGGATTAACTAAAAACATCTTAGCTACTTCACAGTTCTTTGTTCTACAGACAAAAAAGCCATCCATCCACCCTGAATCTCTCCCAAGTGTTAGCTATTCAGCCAAGTTCCTGAAAACCTGGCTCAGGAAGCCGAAACAGCAGGACTCCACCCAAGCTTTTGTCCTTACCTCTCACCTTCCCCCAACTGAGCTCAGAGGCTATAGATATGTTAATTGGGCATGAGAAACCAAGTTGCGGGCCTGGGATTCGAACCAGCGAAGTACAATGTAAAGTTACCTGAATGTCTGGAAAATTACTGATGCTAGCTGTATCCTGTTTCAGTCTCTCCCAGCTTGGTGTGAAGCTCCTCCCCTAAATAAAACAGGCCCAGGCCTGTCCCAGGTGTGCATTACAAGATGGAGGGCATGCAGTAAAGACTGCAGGGCAGTGAGTTGCTGCCTGCAAAGGCCACAATGCCTGTACTCCCAAGTTTGCCCACCAGTGATGTATCTACCCTGGCTTTGGGGTGCCTCATTGTCTCCCTTCTTCTGTCTGTCTGTGTATTCTTTTGCTATCTCTATCGCCGCCAGGTATCTCCTCCTCATGAACTGAACCCCTATGTTGAGGCCGGTCCCCGACAGAAGTTCTGTTACGTGCTACAACATGGATGAACCTTGGAAGCATTATGTTGAGTGAAGTGACTCAGTCACAAAAAGACAAACATTGTATGAGCCTGCCTACATGAAACAGGCAAATGTAGAAAGATCAAAGTTTATTAGTGATTATCAGGGGTAGAAGAGTAGGGAAAATGAGAGATTGAAGCATCAGCAAAGCTTTTGCTAGCAGAGTAGGTATTGCTTCAACGCAGAAAACAAAATGCTTTCTGAGGGGGCATTTTTATTAAGTTGGTGAAATGTAATAATTGTTTAATTTCAAATGTTTTGTTATATACAAACTGATAATGCCCCCAAGAGAAGTTCCATTATCAGAGAATGCCGCCAGTAGGAACACACACATCGCAGACAGATCTCGATGAGAATCTTTTTCAAGAGGAAGCCAGTCACACTGTCATATGGAAGCACTTGCTGATGAGACTGAGGGACTGAGCTCTAGTCATCATCAGGACGCAGCCATCTAAAATGAAACAACTTCTATGCAAACTCGAAACTAACTAATCTACCATGACAGTGAGCTCACATGAAGGAGGGCAACATTGCAGTGACAATGCAATCACAATGGTGGCACTCACAAACTCCAGAAAGGCAACAGAAAGACTATGACTCAGGCAACATTAAGGTAGGTGCTTGGCTGTTAACTAAAAGCTTGGTTCAAACTCACGAGTTTGCTCTTCCACAGAAGAAAAGACCTGGCAATCTGCTCTCCATCAAGACTACAGCCTAAGGAACCCTAGGGGGCAGTTCTCTTGTGTCATATAAGGTCCCTACGAGAATGTAGATGAGAGAAAAGACATAGGCGGTGCCTACTGTGAGGGTGATGACCCCTGGCCTGAAGATGCTTAACCCTGAATTGATGACAAACTGCTTCAAGAAAACACTGATAGATTGGACAGGGAATATTTGGAAAGTAAAAGTCATAACTAGTATTGTGTTCATTCATTCCAGAAATATTTATTCCAGAAATATTTATTAACTACACACTACATGTAAAGGCCTTTCAGAGGCCTTGGTTCCAATGGCTTGGGATTTCTGATTTTCCAACTTGCTTAGATGGCATTTTATTATAAAGAGTTCCCTTTTTATTAATCACCACATGAGATTCACATGCAAAGCAAGTTGTGCTGGGGAAGGAGCTGACAGGTGGCAGGGTAGAGTGGTGGTGAGACCCTCAGAAGTGGGCACTCCTCTCCAGAGGCTGGTGGGCAGGGTCCTGGAAATACCAACCTTTGACAGCTTGCTGGACGTAGGCTGTTGTCCCGTCACTGAGGGTCACCGTCTGCAGCCCCAAGCTCTCCATGGCAAATTGTTCCTCGTGCACGCAGACATGAAGTTGGCTTCTGACCAACACTGGGAGCCACAGCTGAGGTCTGAGATTTTCTTCTAAGTCACAAATCTGAGAAAAATCAATAGTGTCACATGGTAAGTTGCACAGCTTCCTTCAACTGCAAGGATACACAGGGAAGGAATGAATGAGGCCAGCCAAAAGAAAAAGGGACAGATTCTTCAAAGTTGAACACTAGGGATCGGTACTCATGAAGAGTATTAAAAAGATACACATTTAGGAATTCTAAAAGTTGAGCAACAGAAGAGAAACATGCCAGCCAGATTGGCTGTCAAGTAGAAGTAAGCGCATTCATCAAAACCACCTTTAAACTCACTCCTTAGAAGTGAGGTGCCATTGAAGGCAGACAGTCAACCCCATGGTCACTAGTGCTCTCCTGTACTTAGACCCATCTAACCACTGGCCTACTGACCATCCTCACTGACATCCCTCATGTCACTCCTCCCTACCTGTGCCACTTCTAGTAGCCTCTACCTTAGCATGACACCTCCATCCACTCAGAAATGATGGAGTCATCCTTGAATCCTTGCTTTCCCTTAAAAACCCAAGAACCTTTTCATACTATTATTTAGTCAGTTACCTCTTGACTATCTATCACATGAGCCTCCCAGATAAACTCTTTCCTATTTCCATTCCTGTCAGGGTGAAGTGTAACCCTAAATACACCACTTCCCAGAAGAAAACCCTTCAATAGTTTACTTTTGCACTTAAAATCTACCTTGCAAGCAAGGCTGGGCCACAGGTGTAAGTTCTTACTGCTAACTGTTCAACGCTTGCTGCCTACACGAGCCTTTGGACTCCAGTCTGGCTGTGGCTCCCTGTAGTTTCTCCAAAGCCTCATATATTGGGCTCTGCACAAAACCTTGCTGAGTGAATCACCAGGTTGTCATGTATGAGGTGGGAAACACTGTAACTTCATGCCAGCAGGACTTCCTCTTGCTTGGTTACAGCATGAAGCCAGTTTCTAGTTGTACACCCACACTTTGTGAAACTTGCAGGAAGCCCACAGTCCCTGTTCTAGGTTCAGTGACTAAGATTCTTTAGATCAGCAGTCCACAGAATTCTCCTGGATTTGGAATCTGGACTTCCCACTTGCATTCTTACTACCCACCAGCTAATCTCCTCCATCAGTGCTGCCCAAATAGTTTTCATGGCAGGACACCCAGTGAGAGGTATTTATGCGTGTCACACTGTAGATGCTGTAGCTTGAAGCCAGAAGTAACCATCTGAGGCTCCTGTGGCTTTGAGGGCGAAGCAGATCAGTGTCTTGGCTTAACTAAGCCCAGTGCTGTTTAGGATGGTCTATCCTAGGCTTGGACTCTCAATTAGATTTATTCATCCATTCTCTCCAAACATTTGCAGAATGGGATAAGCTCCACTACTTTTACTACTGCTATTAGTCACAATGAATACAACTGTAGAGCTAGCCATATACCAGGCATTTTACATAGGTGGGGGGCTTCAAAAAGTTCATGGAAAATGGAATGAAAGATAATAATTTCTCCATGAATTTTTTTTTTTTTTAGTGTTTTATTGTGAATTATATGATAGTTTACATGTGAGAACATTAGTTTTACATTCATTCTATCGGATATCGTATCATTGCCATGGTTACAATCCCCTCCATGCATCATCAACCAACAAAAGGGTTTACCCTGCAAGCCTGCTCCCAACACTACCCCCCACCCCCCAGTCCTCAGCACACAGTCGCTCTCCCTCTCTGGATCTAAAGTCCCCAGCTGCACCACCACTCCACATCATCGTCTCTGCCTCCATCTCATGCATCACTGCTTCTCTGGGTAGGGTCCCACTCTTGGCTCTTCTCTGTTGATGGTGCTAGGGACCTCCGCTCCTAGACTGGAGAGTTAATCACTCCCTTCCTTGCTATAAAATGTCTACCTTTACATTTCCAACCCTCACAATCAGTCCTGATAACAATTGTTCACTATTGTATCACAAGAGACCCATCTGCATTTCATTTCATCAACTCCACCTAGACAGATTGGATACTACTCACTGGAGATTCTGCTTTCCTCCAGGCCCTCTGGATCTAGGTTCCCTCTTGAAAGCTTGTAAGCCAGTCACTTCTTGCCTTTGTAGTCCCCTCTCCCCCATTTTGGGTAGCCAATGTCCAAGTTGCCCATCCCTGTCTACTCTTGTGTGTGGAGGGGGTGGGAATGATTCTTGCTGTAAGAATTTGTTCCCTCTTTTAGCTACTGCTTCCATAGGTGTAGGTCAAGTTCATCAAATTGTATCAGATTACTCTTTTTTTCCTCTTCTTTCTTCTTCTAATTGAGTTCTGATCATCCAGTCATTGAGGCCAGGTCAAGTGGGTATTAACTGCAAGTGTGGGTGTTCTTGTGCATATGTCCTCTCTTTTTATCAGCTGAACGCTTCACTCTCCACATTGTAGGACTTAGCTCGCCACTTCATTGCTGTTTTTCCCTCACTTCCCCTTATCAGTGACGAGCATAGTCACCAATCAGAGCGTGTATTCCCACTGAGTCTTAGTTTTGGAAGGGGTTTTGTATTGAGGGGACCCGACCACTTGCCCTGATGTTTCCTGGGTAAGCAACTTGTTTGTTCTTGTAGTAGTAACAGTCTGTCTGCCTCTATTGTTTTGTACTTTTCCTGTAGGTCTTTCTTTCAAGAAATATCTTCTATTCTTCTAGCCATTCCAGGCTGGTCTGCTCATCCTTTCAAGTGGAAATTTCCCATCTCTGGAGATCTGGATGTGGTTCAGGCTTCTACCTATAGTCTTATGTATTTCCATGATATTTTTTTTTTTAATATTTTTGATTATGAATTATGTGATAGATTACAAAGATAATTAGTTCTACATTCATCCTATGGTATATCATTTCATACAATCCCCTCCATGCATCATCAACCAACCAACCTCCATCTCAGGCATCACTGCTTCTCTGGGTAGGGTCCCGCTCTCTGCTCTTCTCCCTTGATGGTCCCAGGGACCTCCACTCCTAGACTGCAAAATCAATCACTTCCCTCCTTGCTACAAAACGTCTACCTTTACATTTCCAACCCTCACAAGCAGTCCTGATAACAATTATTCATCATTGTATCACAAGAGACCTATCTGCATTTCTTTTCATTACCCCTGCCTAGACAGATTGGATACTACTCAGTGGAGATTCTACCTTCCTCCACACCCTTTGGATCCAGGTTCCCTCTTGAAAGCTTTTAAGTCAGTCACTTCTTGCCTTTGTAGCCCATCCTCTTTGGGTAGCCAATGTCCAAGTTGCCCATCCCTGTCTACTCTGTGTATGGAGGGGGTGGGAATGATCCTCGCTGGAAAGATTTGTTCCCCCTTTTGAGCTACTGCGTCCATTAGGTGTAGGTCAAGCTCATCAAATTGCATCATGTTAATCTTTTTTTCTTCTTCTAGTTGAGCTCTGATCATCCAGTCATTGAAGCCAGGTCAAGTGGATATTATCTGCAAGTGGGGTGTTCTTGTATATATGCCCTCTCTTCTTATCAGCTGGACTCTTCATTCTCCACTCTAGTCATCTGTGGCTATGTCACTGACTCTAGGCCAAAGAGTCCCCAGGTCTTGCCACACTGCTGGCCAACCAGGTCTCCACCTGGGTTCATAGGAGTCTACTGAACATTGTAGGGCTTAGCTCGCAGCTTCATTACTATTTTTCTCTCATTTCCCCTTATTGGTGATGAACGTGGCCACCAATTAGAGCATGTATTCACATGAGTCTTAGTCTTGGAAGGGGGTTTGCTCTGAGGGGACCCGACCACTTGCCTTGATGTCTCCTGGGTGAGCAACTTGCTTGTTCTTGTAGTAATCAGTTGGTCTGCCTATATTGTTTTGTATTTTTCCTGTCGGTCTTTCTTTCAAGAAGTATCTTCTGTTCTTCTAGTAGCTCCAGGCTGGTCTGCCCGTCCTTTCAAGTGGAAATTTCCCAACTCTGAAGATTCTGGATGCTGTTTCAGGATTCCACCTATGGTCTTATGTAATGCAGAGGCTCTGCAGGAAGCCCCATTTTAGGTATTCCAATTAGTTACAGGCAGAAGACAGACTTACAAGCTTTCAATGGTGATATTTCTGGCTCTTTCTTTCTCTCCCCTTCCAGTGTCTATTTTATAATGGTATGCAAGGGAAACCAAGATTCAAAAGGCAGCCAAGCATCTTAACATTATTTTCCCCCTTTTCCCCATTCCAACCATGTCTCAAACCTGTATCCCAGAGTCCTGTTGTTCCGAGGTTGTGCATACATCATTATTTACCTCTGTCCCACTTAGCCCATGCAAACCTGCCTAATTGTTCTCCCATCCTCTTTGTTCTTCCATTCCTGTCCCCCTTCTTGTATATTGCTCCCGTCTCCAGCACCCAAACTATACTGTGTCTATTCCCTGCCCTATGCTCCACTTTCCTCTCCCTCCTGTCACCCCACCTCCCACATCCCAGCAACTAGCAAAGAATCTCCCCCCACTTTTGTATGGGTTCTTTTTCTTAGTCTTTTACAGTAGTGGTCCTCCTATGCAGTATTTCTCCTTTTGTGACTGACTAATTTCACTCAACATAATGTCCTCAAAGTTCATCCAGGTTATGCGGCGGCTTGCAGCTTCCTTGTTATTCTTCAATAACAATAATATTCCACTGTGTGTCTGTACCACAGTTTATCTATTCTTCAGTTAATGGCCACTTTAGCTGTCTCCATATTTTTGCTATTGTAAATAGTGCTGCTATGAACATTGGTGTGCATTTATCTACTTGTGTTATGGCTCGTATTTTTTACAGGTAAATACCAAGTAGAGGAACTGCTGGATAATAAGGCATTTCTATTTCCTCTCCATGAACTTTTTGAAGCCCCGATGTATATTAACTCATTTAACCCTTATAACGACCTTATAATTATATACTATTATCACCATTTTACAGCTGAAGTAATTACGGCCCAGAGAGGCTAAGTGGAGTCCTAGAGCAGAGCTGTGGGATAAAGCACTGAACTGCAAGGTAGGTAGGTTTGAACCACAAGGTTGGCAGTTTAAAACTTACTAGCCACTCCTTGGAAACCCTA